CCTTAATATGTCAAGGTAGTTGGACTTAAACATTGATTACATGCAAAGGCACGTCTGCTTAAAATAAATCTGCACTTTTGTTTATTTTGAAGCCTATGAGTGCGCTTTTTACGTTGTAGTACTTTTTAATTTTAAGTTATCTGTTCTAACTCTGTATCTACACACCATGCTGGCGCGATGCATTATGGGGCTGGTAAATATTTTTTTTTCCAGGGCTGCTTTTAATTCCCAGTCCGGCCCTGACTGTGCTTCATTAAGCCCAGCGTCAACGCAGCCATCTACCAGGGGATTTTGGAGCACTTCATGCTTACTTCCACAGACAAGCTTTATGGGGATGCTGACTTCATTTTCCAGCAGTACTTAGCACCTGCCCACACTGCCAAAAGCACCAAAGCCTGGTTCAGTGACCGTGGGATTATTGTGCTCGGTCAGCAAACTCGCCTGACCTGAACCCCATAGAGAATCTATGGGGCATTGCCAAGAGAAAGATGAGAGACATGAGACCGAACAATGCAGAAGAGCTGAAGGCCGCTATTGAAGCAGGCTGTCTTCCATAACACCTCAGCAGTGCCGCAGGCTGATAGCTTCCATGCCACGCTGCATTGAGGCAGTAATTGCTGCAAAAGGGGCCCAAACCAAGTACTGAGTCCATATGCATGCTTATACTTTTCAGAGGTCCGATATTGTTCTATGTACTTTCCTTGTTTTATTGATTGCATGTAATATTCTAATTTACTGAGATTGTGGATTTGGGGTTTTCATGAGCTGTAAACCATAATCATCGCATTTATGACAAATCACGGCTTGAACTATCTTGCTTTGGATGTAATGCGTCTATCTCATATATCAGTTTCCCCTTTTACATTGCTTTACTGAAATAAATGAACATTTGCACGATATTCTAATTTTTTGAGTATCACCTGCATGTGAAATTTGTGTATGAAATGTGTTAGGCATTTCTGTGCCACCTCCATGTATATCGGGTTATTTTTTTTATGAGTGTGAACAAAAGTGAATTTTACAATTATTCTGGAGAAACAGTATTTCTTAAAAGTTTGGATGGGAGAATGTTTATCATTATTTTAAAAAATCCCCCCCAAAAAATAAGCTAGATTCATAGTCCAAAGAAGTTTTTATATCTTGTGTAAGTATATTTTAGGAAAATCTAGTTCTTTGAGCCAGGGTTGCCATCAGGAATTTTGAGGCCCCTGACTCATCCCAAAGTCTGGGCCCCGGGGCCCACCCCTGATTCTGCCTCTGAGCCTGCCCACATGGCCTGCCCCGAGTCCCCCCACAGGGACCATCCTACGTCCACCCACAAGGATGACGTGTGTGTGCACTGAATTTGGTGTGTATAGTGGATGTAGAATGTGTGTAGCGGATGCCAAGTGCTTGAGTAAAGTGGATGTCGTGTGTGTGTTGTGGATGCAAATTGTATGTTTGTGTGTATTAGATGAAAAGTGTGTTTGTGTAGTGGATAGAGTGTGTGTTTGTATAGTAGATGTAGTGTGTATAGTGAATGCAGAGTGTGTGTTTGTGTAGTGGATGTATCATGTGTATAGTGAATGCAGAAAGTGTGTTTGGGTAGTGGATGTAATGTGTGTGTATAGTGAATGCAGAATGTGTTTGTGTAGTGGATATAGTGTGTGTATAGTGAATGCAGTGTCTTTTTTGTTTGTGAATGCAGTGTGTGTGTGTGTAGTGGATGTGTTTTTATGTTTGACAAATGTTTATGTTTGACAAATGTTTTTCTTTAAAAAAAAAATATGTTCTTAAATTAAAAAAAAAGTATTTCCACCCGCTCTGCCTCTTACCTGTAGCCAGGGATGGGGGACACTGGATTCCCTGGTGGTCCAGTCAATGGCTCAACTGGTTGGGCCAGCAAAGAAGGGCCGTGCAGCGTTCATCTTTCCCTTCCGGACTCTTCTTCTGTCCCGAGCCCGGCATGCATTGCGTGCCGCAGAGGTTTGGCTTTACAACCACGGCTTGCGAGAGTGCTGGTGTGCAGCACTCTCTGAAACTGCTATGTTTATAAAAAAAGGGTTAACCCTAGCTGGACCATTAAGCTGAAGTGGTCTGGGTGCCTATAGTGGTCCTTTAATTGTCAGTTGCCACAACTCTGTACATCTTTCTAGTTTACCTAAATCATTTGCTATTTGGCTTATCCCTCCTAGAACATCAACCCTGTTACATATCTTAGTATCATCAGCAAAAAGACATGCCTTACCATCAAGACCTTCTACAAAATCACTAATAAAAATATTAAAGAGAATGGGTCCAAGTACAGATCTCTGAGGTAAATAAAATACACTCATGCACTCTCTCTTTGTATAATATAGGTTTAATTAGGACCCCCTGTCTGTCAGGCATGTACACTATGTGGAGCAGTGTACACTGCGGCTCCCAGGCACAGAGCTTACTGCCCTGTCTCTATATCTTTCCAGGCTGCTCTTACTTGGCAGGCAGAGGGGGTGCATACTGACAGACAGTCCTAATCAAACCTATATTATACAGAGAGAGAGTGCATGAGTGCAGCCAGAGTGTTGTACCTGAAACAATTACCTGTATGGTGCTGAATCCTGATCTAGTCTGGCTCCCTCCATCCCTCCATTACATCCATCACAGAAATCTAGTGGCTTATATTTAATACCCAAGATCCTGCAGCAGTAGTTTCTTCAGCTATTTACAAGTGTTGTTGGGTGACATGACACTGGTTATAGTAGCAACACGTAGTTTCTTTATTCCAGCACTGTATTTTGTTTGTATTTCACAGATCCCTGAGGTATCCCACTGGTGACAAGACCGTGCTTCGAATATACTCCACTGACTACAACCCTCTGTTGCCCGTCACTCAGCCATTGCCTTACCCATTCAACAATATTGGAATCCAAACTTAAAGTTTGCAGTTTATTGATAAGCCTTCTATGTGCAACAGTGTCAAAAGCCTTACTGAAATCTAGGTAAGCAATGTCTACTGCACCACCCTGATCTACTATTTTAGTTACCCAATCAAAAAAAATCATTAAGATTAGTTTGGCTAATCCTGAAGTAAACCCATTGTCAGGTGCCCTGCTCCCGCGCCACTTGCGGCGACCTTGTTTACCTCATCACAGCGAGCGGTGTCATCTGGTCCCTGTCTCCAGACTGGCAGTGTGTCTGACGCTGCACGCTCCAGAGCAACGTCCTTATAATGTACATGTGCTGCACCCAGTCATGTGACCCAGCACACAGTGATGACCTCAGAGACCACAAGGGTTAACACTAATTGGAAATTAGCCAATCAGACACACCCTGTGTATATAGGCTAACCTCTCCGTGGCCTCAGTGCCCTGTTGTGATCTTTGGTTTACCATTAAAGGGACTCTCCAGTGCCAGAAAAACAATCCATTTTCCTGGCACTGCAGGTCCCCTCTCCCTCCCACCAACCATCCCCGGTTGCTGAAGTGGTGGTGGTTTCAGGTCGCCGCCCTCCAGCCGGCACGGGAGACCTAATGCGCATGTGTGGCAAATGCTTTTCAATGCTTTCCTATGGGGAGCTGTGTGACGCTGGAGGTCATCACATAACGTGAGGACGTCCAGCGACGCTCTAGCACAGAAAACCTGTGCTATGAAGCAGGAAGTGCCCTCCAGTGGCTGTCTAGTAGACAGCCACTAGAGGAGGAGTTAACCCTGCAAGTTAATTATTGCAGTTTATGAAAACTGCAATAATTACAGTTGCAGGGTTAAGGGTAGCGGGAGTTGGCACCCAGACCACTCCAATGGGCAGAAGTGGTCTGGGTGCCTGGAGTGTCCCTTTAAGTGTTGCACTTGTTATTTTGATTTCCTGGTTACTGATATTTGGCTTTGTCTCTCGTTATTCTGTCTCTCTGTTTCCCTTGACCTCGGCTAGTGTTTTGACTATTCCTTTTTGAATAACCCTACCATTCTAAGGATCGGTATTGCAATTTTCTCTACTCTGTCCTGTCTGCAAGTTAGGGTTCCCTAGTGAACGTTACACACATGTTCACTTCATGCTATGCTTACACTGCAGGGTTAATCCAGCCTCTAGTGGCTGTCTCCCTGACAGCCGCTAGAGGCCTCTTCCATGATTTACATGGAGTAAATCGCTAATTGATGTCCTCACGTGCAGTGTCAAAAAAGATCCCAATAGGAAAGCATTAAGTAATGCTTTTCTATGGGCAGGTTTAAATGCGCACGTGCCTATGGCTGCGCATGCGCATTCGGCTTCACTCAGGAGCTGACGTCGATGGAGGAGGAGAGGTCACCAGTGCCAAGGGAGAATGGTGCTAGATTAAGGTAAGCAAAGAAATGGTTAATAAACCCTTAATTCGCCATGGAATGGGGCCCAAGTCACCAAAACGGTGACTAGGGTTCTATAGCGTTTGGAAAAATGTGTATTCCTAAAACTATAGTGATCCTTTAAACATGCGAAAACCATAACACGGCATTAAACCAAACCCAGCATTAACTCTTACATTGCCCTATCACTAACCCTACACTAACTGTAATCCTACCTTAACTTTAACCCTTCACCTAAATCTACCCCTAACCCCACCACTACCCTAAGAAAACATTCTGGAGATCTGGAGATTGGATTTCCAGGCTCTTACAAGGTGAGGTTTCCACTCCACTATCAATTTATCAAAAATAATGTTTTGTTTGGGGTGCAAATAGTTCTATAATTTATGGTACATACTGTAATATCTGCATATTCTAATTAGAAGAATATAGTCAAGGCTGGTAAATTATTTTTAATGCGTTTACATGGCTCCTGGGGCAAAAAACAAATTATTTTGGCACCTCCCCAAACTGTAAAAACAAATTTGTGTTTCCTCTGCACCACACCAGCCCCCTTTTGTTAGGGAAATTACATGCACATACTGACACGCACGGACATATATATACACAGACACACACATTTATATATATACACGCAAACATTTACACACACACAGATTCATGTTTAAGAGTTGGGAAACATAAAATATATTCTGAACGTGCTACAAGATATGTCAGTGGACAGCACTGGTAATGATGTCAAAGCCCAGTGATACCCTTGCTTAACACCCCACCGGGCAGCGCAACACATGGAAGAAGAGATAGCGAGAGATGGAGAAATGGTAAGCCAGAAAATTTGGGTGTATATTATATATTAATGTAGGGCTGAAAATTACCACTCTCCACTCAGTGACGGAACTAATGTAGAGAGGGCCCTGGTGCAAGAAATAGTTTAGGGCCCCCTCTAGCACAAGAGTGGACAAAGGTAGATGCCCATCTGTCGTGCAACTTCCCCTATGCTATGCCAGTTCTACCATTTGCCCATCCTTGCAGGGTTTCATTTATGAGCAATGTTTGTGCATTCAAATGTAAGATTATTTTGTATAGAGTATGTGTGTGCATGTAGAAATGTATTTGTATGTTGCTAAACATACAGTTACTAAACTCCATGCGATCATTGCTGCATCACAATCAAACAAGCAATCGTTAGATTTTGACATAGAAAAGGTCTGTCTGTATGTGATATATTTTCCTTTTGCTCTTTTGTTTATAGATATGAATCAAATAAATATATTTAATTTATCTTTCATATTTATTTATTTATTTAGTGATTTTCAGCAATAAGGAGTAATGTCCAGATTTAAAGGTAACTAAACTATAATTATACCTCTTTTTTCAGCAGACATAACTGTTCTTTAGACTTGAAATCAGGTTGCTGAGAATTATATACACCTCAGAGTAACAATAAATACAAAAAAAATCGTCCAGAATAAACAATACAACAAAAGAAAAATCTTTAAGCAAAGATTCTGAAACAATCCAGTAAAGACAAAAAGGGAATTAGGGGCACATCCGGGACATGCATTTCGCAGGAGTCTTGACCAGATTCCTTTAGGAATGCCTCCTAGGGATGTGCATGGATAAAATTTGGTTCAGTATGGCACTTCCGAAATTCTGGAATTCGGCACTTCTGTTCGGCATGTCCAAAATTCGGCACTTAAGTTCGGCATTTCTGAAATTTGGGTCTTCGGCAATTCCCTAACCCTACACCTAACGTAACCCCTAACCCTACCTCTCGGTAGGGTTAGGGGTACGGTAAGGGATAGATTCCTGTCATCATTCCCTTAATTTTCCCTCTCTCTCCTGTTTTGCCACTTTTTAGAAATTCAAAGCAATTTGGCACTTTGGAAATTCTGCAATTCGGACATTCGGAAGCATCCGAATGTCCGAATTGCCGAAATTAATCTGAATTTAAATTCAGACCGAAACGAATTGCACAAGTCTAATTCCTCCCCAGTTCAGATGTTTCTTTGGAAGTAAGCGCAGGAAAGTATACATTTGAGGTGGTTTTTGGATAGTAATGTCACTTTAATTATATTTATCATTTGATATAGAGCAGATGTATGATATGCATTGTTAGTATATACAGTAGTACTTAAAATTGACAGACTTTCAGCTGTTTGCAATGAACAAATCAAACAAAAGCAATTGAAATAGCTCAAGACAATGAGTGATTCAAGTGGTTTCCCTAAATTCAACTGAGAATGCAACTTATAATTACTTCTCCAGGCTCAAACTTAATCAACCCCTTAATGGCAAGCATCTTTTGTACTTAAAAGAGAACCCTTTCGCTGTTATGACCTGCTGCAAACAAGATGCATAGCCAGACACTAGCTTCTGGCAGTGTTCCTGAGGAATCTTGGCCCACTGTTCATTAGGAATGGCCTCCGGCTCAATAAAATTATTTTGTTTGCATGCTGCAACCACCAGAGATTTTCTATGGGGTGACTGTGATGGCCTCTGTAGAATTTTCCATGACCTCTTCTGCAACTATGCATTGGTGGAATTTGATGTATGCTTGGGATCAGTGTCCTGTTGGAAGGTCCAATGATGCCCAAGCTTCAGTTTTCTGGCATTACTTTTTCTTCTAGGATTTCCTGAAACATCAATAAATTTATTTTGCCTTCCACATTCTGCAGGTTTCCAGTGCCAGAGGATGAAAAGCAGCCTCAGAACATAACTGAGCCCCCACCATGCCTAACTGTAGGAGAGTTCCTATCATAGAAAACACGTGGATCAGCGCTGACTGACCAAAACAGAGAATTTATTTTTGTAGATAAAGGGAGCAGACCTAAGGATGGGGCTCCCTCACAAACCCCCCAAAAAAAGAAGTATAGCTAATAGGACAAAAATAGGTTGCGCTTGAAATTAATGATGCTAAAATCAAAATACCAGATTAAGAAGTCATTAAAAAGACAGTACTATGATAAAAATAGATATACCTGTAATAAAAGTTGATAAAACTGAAAAATCAGAAACAGTAAAAGTCCAATAATTTAAAGTAGTAAAAACACAGATAAAAAGTCCAAACTTTGAAGTGCAATGAATAAAATCAAGACTTTATTTCAGTGCACTCTTTTGGGAATCAGGAAGGTGCTGCTTCATCAACTCATGAGACCAACAAAAGAGGAAAAAAATCAGGTAATAAGTAGTATCAAGACGTAAACCATCTACTCACATATTATATAGCTAGTACTGGCTCTGGTGTAATGTACATTCAATCGCGTTGATCCCCCACTGGTAGGATTTCAGTAATGATACTTCCAACAGGTTTTTCAAGGTAGGGTGTGCCAAAAGGAAAAACAAGGAGAAATAGTGCTCTCTGTATAAAACTGGTTAAAATAGACAGTAATACAAGAGGTCTTATACTCACATTTAATTGAGCAGGAACTACTGCTCAATTATCAGGCATGGTGGTATAATCCCCACCTGAGATTCTTTGGTGAGTTCTTCTCCAAAAGATGTAGATGAGTGACCAAGTTAAAAATGTAATACATAAAATGATATAGAAGTAAAAAGGTATATGGTACAGAAAGGTAAAATAGCCAATATGCCTTTTAGTAAAACAGTAATAATTAAAACAAACCAAACGTGTTTCGCCAACACAGGGCTTCATCAAGTGATAATCTTATCAGCATATGCTTCCTTACAAATCGGGACATACCTGTAATGGAAAAATCAATCAATATATTGATTATTTCTTTGTGTATCTGCCCCTGGCCAAATCAATGAAACAATGCGTCCACGCTCCCTGAAGTAATTCACACCAGACACAGGTTCCAGGTTGTTGAATAACTTGGGGAATGTTTATTCAGAGGGGACGGCAGGTCCCATTTAAAGCAAAATTACATCATAAGCATTGTCAGAGATAACATGGAGTAATACATCAATTATTGGTTAAGTGTTAAGTGTTTTAGTCAAAGCACGTCCTACAGGGTGTGCCTTCTTATGTCATTACTGTCGTCATGGAGTTCTCCCCCCGGATTCCAGCGCCATCTTGAAAATTAGAGTGTTTGGTCGATGGGTGGGGTACTCCTGAGTGACATCTAGTGGTCAGTTTAGTAATTTATTGAATAATATTGAGTATAACTAAATGGAGTAAATAGACTTTTTACTAGCTAAAAATATGTCAATATTTCATGTCACCAGGTCCATAAGGGTCTCCCACGGTTTCCCGTCGCCATCTTGCTGCACGAGGTAGTTAGTCGGTGTTAAAGGGGCAGGGGGAGGAGGGGGTTAGAAGCTTCTAGCAGCCATCTTGATTAGAGCACGTGTGTATAGCTTTATATATAATATATCGTGGAATGAGTAAATAGACATTTTCACTAACTAGGAAATATGTGCAAACCTTATTTCCACAACAGTCCCCCTAAAATGGCTATTTACCATAACAACTGCTACTGTCCCTAATATGTCCCTAGCTGCCTGCAGCTCATCTGTCTTAACGAGCATCGAACACTTCACTCCATGGGTAACCCGCAGCGGCTAGTCCACCACATCTCCGCACGTGAGACTCGCCTGTAGAGACAGACGCTTTCCCTATGCTATCCCTATGAAAATGCAGTTGTCTGTCTGACTTGGTGGGATTGGAGGGGTGTATGTGGTGTGTCACATTCTAGGTCAGTGACTTCTTAGAGAAGTAAAGTAGGGGTTACGTTGTCTATAGTCTTCCCTACTGTCTTCTGTAAATACTTTTGTATGCAAGGGAGCACACAACAGGTTAAGAATAAGAAGATGATAATCATTATAAGAACAGCTGTCCCTACCTGGAAGAGGGTCCTTTGCCAACCATTCATCCACCCAAACCATCTGTCCCAAGTGTCAGTGACTCCTGAATTCTTCTTTAGCTCGTCAGAGAGTCTATCTAGCTTCTCTATGGCCATAGTCACCTTACCATTGGGCCCAGTGTTGTCTAGAATGTATGTGCAGCATGTCATAGTCTCAGGGAGGATTTTACATACACCCCCTTTCTCAGCTAAAATCATATCTAGGGCCATTCTGTTCTGAAATGTCATTTGGGGAGTGGCTTGTAATTGCTCTGCCAGGCCCTGTAGGGCATCCCTTGTGTAGTTAACGAAATGCTGCTGATTATAATAGATGTAATTAATCCAACTGACATTCTTATTAGCAGTTATCATTGGAATTAAGGATTCAAATCCTGCTGCCACTTCATCCCTTGCTTTGAACTCGCTAGGCACCCCCCTTGGCACACCTATGGCATCAATATACACATGGGTGTCGAAGCTCCCTCGGATGGGGGCCTCACGTCTGGTTCTAGAATGTATGTGTGTGTGGTCTAGTGTGTTGTGGCTGCCGTCTGGAATTATGTGGATGGGCATTATAACTTTGGTCAGGGCACACTCCCCCCACCATTGCCCAGCTAGTTGGGCCCTCAATTGTCTGTCACCACATAACCAATAGATATCTCCAATGGTCTTTGCATGATTTATTAGCAGTGACACAGGTGGGCTATGGTAGGTTGAGCAATATCCAGATGGGAATCTGCCCAGATACACACCAGTATTCTTAGGTATAGCATAACATGTGTAATTACCTGGATACACGGTGACTCCATCAGGTGGCTTGACATATCCATGAGTGATTGGGTAAACCCTTTTCCATGATTCACATGTTGAGGAATTTGTGGTGGACTGTGCATGGAGGCTTAGGACACTTCGGGAGGTAAACTTAGAGGTGCCGTACCCAGATGGGGCCTAGCTCCTCCACATACATAGCAATTAGTCTTATTGTGTGAGTTGGCATTATACCTCATCCATTCTAGCCACAAATTAGTGTCTGAAAACCCAGTCTCTACTGCCATAGTGTCTTCAAAGGTGGGATTGGCTATAGCTACCATGTCATGTAGAGTCTTAATATGTGGTTTTAACGGGTTAATAGTCATGTGAGTGGTTCCTACCCAGTCTGGTGAGGTGAGCCTTTTTGCTAGGTATGTATTTGTATATGGCTGCATATTGTGTTTGTGGAAAGGTGCAAACAACTATGTCACAGTAATCAAAGGTGTATGTAGCTACATCTGTGTTAGAAGAATTGTACCAGAAAGTGTAAACATGATTATCTTTGGTTATGGCCACTTGTTGGGCCCAGGCAAAATGTAGCAGCATAAGAAAACACAAGACACATAATAAATTCATATTTCAGCAAGATTAGCCTCTTCTGGAGCAGGCACTTTTTTGCAATGTGAGGCGTGTATCCAAGAACTCTTCCCAGCTAGTTTAACTGACGTTGCTGTAATCAGGAGCACTTGATATGGGCCATCAAATCTTGGTTCTAGGGTGTGTTTCCTGAGAAACTTCTTGACCATAACCCAATCACCAGGAAGCAGCTTGTGTGTACCTGTATTCGACTCAGGATCTGGAATAGAAGAAAACACTTGGGCATGTATTTTGGTCAAGGCATGTGAGAGGGCAGTCTACCATAGCATCTGACTGAATCTGAAGCTGTTGGGGAAAGTAACAACCTAACCTGGGTGCTGTACCAAACAAAATCTCATAAGGTGATAGGCTATATTTTCCCCTAGGAGTGTACCTTACACTAAACAACGCTAATGGGAGACTCTCAGGCCAGGGCATGTTAGTTTCTTGTGACATTTTAAGCATTCTGGCTTTCAAAGTGCCATTCATGCGCTCTACCTTACCACTACTCTGTGGGTGATATGGTGTGTGGAATGCAAGGTTCACCCCCAGTGCTGACCAGACTTCCCGTGTTAACGAGGCAGTGAAGGAGGTCCCTTGGTCACTTTCAATCACTTCTGGAACTCCATATCGGCAAACAATTTCCGTCAAAAGGTACTTGGCTGTAGTCCTTGCGGTGAGATTAGTCACTGGGAAGGCCTCTGGCCATCCTGAAAACATGTCCACTATGATAAGTGCATATTCATAATGTCCACTCTTTGAATATGGTCAATCTGGATCCTCTGAAAGGGGTATTGTGGCTTGGCTAGGTGATTAGGTGCGGTCTTTATAATCTTTCCAGGATTGCATTTAGCACATATAGTACAAGATTTACAGTAATTCTGTGTTAAGGTAGTGATGCCTGGTGCTTCAAAATACTTGTCAATTAATGAGTTCATCAGGTGTTTTGACAGGTGGGCTGGCCCATGGGTCCATTGGACCACCGCTGGGTACATGCAAAACTTGAGATTGATGGTGTAAACATCATCACGGAGTACAGCTCCTTTGTTCTTCCAACTTTGTTTCTCCTGGCGAGTAGCAGCAGCTTATTGTTCCTTCAGAAGCCTAAGATCTGTAGACAATGTTTGCATAGTATAGATGGGTACTGCATCTGTGGCCACTCTTCTGTCCACTTCCCATCCTTGTCGTGCTGCTTCCTTAGCGGCCTGATCAGCTAAGTGGGGAATATCAGGGTCACAGTCTATGATGAGTGGGTCCTCACAGACATCTGTGTGGTACCTAGGGTACCCTGCTGTACAGTAGTTAATAGTCTTTTTGCGGCCTGATCAGCTAAGTGGGGAATATCAGGGTCACAGTCTATGATAAATGGGTCCTCACAGACGTCTGTGTGGTACCTAGGGTACCCTGCTGTACAGTAGTTAATAGTCTTTTTGCTGATCCCCATAGAAGGCAGTTGTTCTTGGTTCATTTGACTCCAGGTCTTGGCCATCGGGCCTAGGTCTTTCCATGAGGTGTCAGGGGATCTGGTGAGAGATATGTGTGGGATAGCTGTTTCCCAATGATGGTAGAGATGTGTCATGTTCTCTGGAAGATGGACTAAGATGAGCATGGTACCTGAGGGATCCCATAACAAGTCAGTCAGGGTAATTTGAATTTCCTTGAGCTGGAATAATTCTTCCTCATAGTTCATATCAGGGCCTGGTCTGTCTTTAAACCATAAGGTGCAGTGAAGTAGGGCCTCTGATTGTTCATCATGTGGGGGGTGCAAGTGCAGGCAGCTGCAAATCTGCTCGAACCTCTGGGTTGATGTCCAGGCTATACCAGTAATGCACAATTCCCCCCTTGGGAAGTGGCAGAAGAGTGGCCGGGTTCAGGGAGAGACATCGCTGAAGTTTCACATTGTCAGGTAACAGTAAGGATGTTTGTAGACGAAGGTGACGTTGAGAAGAAAGGTGCTTAGGTTGAACTTGTTGCAGGATTGCAGTAATGTCATGAGGGGCCAACACCGTGAGGTGGTGACCAAGAACAAAAGCATTAGTCTTGTCCAAGAGGGCACTGGCAGCAAACACCGCTCTGAGGCAGGAGGGACTACCCCTAGCAACGGGGTCGAGCATGAAGGAAAAATAGCCAAGAGGTCGCTGTCTTGAGCCATGTTTTTGGGTTAGGACTCCGGAAGCATGTCCAGACTTTTCTGAGACAAACAGATTGAAAGGTAACTGGTTGTTTGGAAGGCCCAAGGCAGGTGCAGAAGCAATAGCTCTTTTCAGATTTTGGAAACAGGTAATAGCTTCTTCGGTGAGATGAAAGGGCTCACACCTGAGGGCGTCATAGAGTGGCTGCATGAGCTTCGAGGCTTCCGGTATCCAGGACCTGCAGTATGTAATGAGACCCAAGAAGGCATGAAGAGTCTGATGTGTTGCAGGTAATGGGAGTTGCAAAATAGCTTGTACACGCTGAGAAGTTAGATGTCTGGTGCCATGGGAAAGACAATGTCCCAAGAAGACCACAGAGGGCCGGCACCATTGCAGCTTGGATTTGGAAGCTTTGCAACCGGCTTCAGCGAGAAAACATAGGAGATCTTCTGAGTCACGTTCAGCAATAAATGAGTCAGGAGCACAGAGAAGGAGGTCATCAACATATTGAAGTAGGACAACAACAGAGTGAGTTTTCTGCCAGGGTTCTAGTACCAAAGACATGGCACGGGCAAACTGAGTGGGGGAATTCTGGGCCCCCTGAGGTATGACAATCCAGGTGTATTGTTGTCCTTCATGGGTAAAAGCGAAGAGGAAGCGACGAGAGGGGTCTAGTGGCACACTGAAAAATGCATTAGCCAGATCTACTATAGTGAATACCGTGGCTGTAGGTGGGACCTGAGATAGGAGAGTATGTGGATTTGGAACAATGGTAGTATCATTGGCAGTCACTTCATTGACAGCACGAAGGTCCTGGACCATCCTGTACTGGTCAGGTTGTCCTTTAGCAGTTCTCTTCTTGACAGGGAAAAAAAAAGGGAAGAGGGAGTGTTACATGGGGACACATACTTAATGAGGGCACCTTTGGCGAGTAGGCTTTCGACTTGTTTGGTGATAGCATCAGTTTGTGCAGGTTTCAGAGGATACTGTGGCCTACGGGGGGGTAATGCTCCTGGCAGGAGCTTGACCACAACGGGGGGGCACTTGTAGACGTCCGATGTCATCTGGATCGGTGGACCAAAGCTTTTGTGGGATACGGTCCAGAGCACTGGGGGTTTGTTGGACCTGTGAATTCCCTGTGGAGGTGGTGAGGTTTAACAATATGGGCAGTGAGCAGAGTACAGTGGTGTCTGTCTGTGATAAGGGTGTAGTTAACTGGACCCTGGAGCCGAGAAAGAACATCAGCACCCAAGAGGTTAATGGGACAAGTAGAAGAAACAACAAAACGGGAGAGTATGTGTGAACCAACATGCAGGAGTGTAGGGAGGGGGCTACTGCACCCCAACACAGGAGACATCGGTGTCTGACAAAAAGGAGGGGTCAGGCAATTTCCGTCAATAAGAACACTACGGGCTGCACCTGTGTAAACTAGAAAGGTAGTTGGATGACCCTCTACGGGGAGAACTACAGTAGCTAAGGGCCTTCCCCCCTCCCCCGCAGACACTGCCATGGCAGGGGTTGCTGACACAGGCTTGCCGGTTACCTATTGCAGTAAATCTAAATGGGCCTGGTCGGATCCTTGGTACCGGTGGGTAGAAGTGGGAGGGTGGCTGGACTGCATAGGAGCACGGGCAGGGCGGCTTTGTCGAGGTAGGGGCTGAATATCTTGGAAATCATCCGTGTCAAACCCATCAGCAGGAGCCGGAGGGTATGCACGGGCCTCTAAAGCAGGGGGCCGGCTGGGATGGGCGTGATAGGTGAGTATTAAGGACGTGAACAAGGGCAGAGATTGGATCGGAAGATTCGGGGCGGGTAACGGGAGGCGGGGAAGGGGTTGGGGGATCAGGAGGAAGAGGAGGAGGAGGTAAATCTGCGGGAGGTGGAGTAGGAATAGCGGAATTGACCAAGGAGGTAACAGCGGAGAGGAGGGCGGATATGGAGGTGGATAGGTCATTGGCCATGGTTGGGTCAGGGGTCACCGGGGGAGGGGTCGGAGGGATGGGAACAGGGGGCTGGGTTGTAACAGCGTGGGAAGAGGGTAGGGACGGCAAATCTGTCGGAAGGGGAGGGGGCAACGAGGTAGAGGGGGCCGGGACATCGGGAGGAGGTAACACTGGAGAAGGGGTTGGAGGGGCGGGAACGGGAGTCGGAGTCAGAGCGGTGAGGGCAGAGATTAGGGACGGCAAATCAGCCGGGAGGGGAGGGGACAACGAGGTAGAAGGTGCAGGGACATCGGGAGGAGGTGACACTGGAGAAGGGGTGGGAACGGGAGTCTGGGTCAGAGCGGTGAGGGCAGAGATTAGGGACGGCAAATCAGCCGGGAGGGGAGGGGACAACGAGGTAGAAGGGGCAGGGACATTGGGGGGAGGTGACAGTGTGTGGATAGCGGGAGGATCAGCCTGGAGGATGGGAGGGGTGCCTGGGAGAGTTGCAGGAGGATGGAGCGAGGCAGAAAGGGCAGCTATTAATGGTGCAAGATCAACGGAAGGAGGGGAGGTAGAGGGAGGGCCAGCTGTGGTAGTGTGTGAGGGAGTTAGTTTTGAAAGGTTAGAGAGGAGGGAGGAAAGGTCCGATGGAGATGGAGAAGGAGTAGGAAGGACAGGAGGAGAAGGAAGAGAGGGATCAGGAGGTATGGGAGGGAGGACAGGTGAAGTGGGGGCAGAGAGTTGAGTAGAGGATGAGAGGATGGAGAGAAGAGAGGTCCGGAGGCATAAGGGAAGCGGGATCAGCGGGAGGACAAGGGTCTGGAGGATCTGGGGCGGTGGGGTGAGTAAGGGTCGAGAGGGCAGAGAGCGGGGCAGCGGATGGAGACGGGTGAGTGGGTAACACTGGGGAGGGGTCAGTCGAGGTGGAGAGGGGACGAGAGGAGGAGGAGGAGACCTCGGTGGGCGGGGTAGGAACAGGCAGGGCAGGACCTGGAGTAGGAACTGAGGCAGAGGCAAGCATAGGTGGCGGGGGACAGGGAGGCGGAGGAATGTCATTTAACGTAAAGGATGTTACTGTAAACATACGATTTGTAACTAGCTAGATTCTATTAAGTAAAGATACAATGTTTAAAATAACTTGCATTATTTAGCAGTTTCCCTTGTTGCAAGACACAGGCATTAATGAATATTCATCTGGATAATCAGCTGTTATGCTCTTATATTCGTGCCCAACGGAACTCATTTGTAGGTCACACCACAGGTGCAAATGACTTTTTAGCAACCTTTTTTTTTTTTTTTTTTAAATATCACGGACACATTTCTGATACAGGGAAACAAATGGCATGATTGTTTTAGTAATTATAATGTTTCAGTTCATAATATGTAGAGCGTAAGGAAAACAACATGTCTCTAAATAGGACGAGCATAATAGGGGTAGGCCTCATGATGGAGGCAGCCATGACAGGGGCGGGGAAGAAAATGACAGCAAGGGAGGAAGTGAGAGGGGTGACGTCCATGATATGTGTGGGAAAGGAAGACAGGAGGTGTGGGCATGGTAAGGGCGGAAGTGACGTCACTTTAGAAGCAACCGTGACTGTAGATAGGTCACGGGACTGGTAGGGTTAACCTCCTTCTGTACTAGGCGCCATCTTTAGGGTGGTGGCTGACGTACTTTCAACAATACACTATATTATAACTAATAAAATAAGTCAGAGAAGCAACATTCCGTTCTGCAAAATGAAATACTAAACTATGAACAGACCTGGCAGGTTAAATAAGACAGTTGAGAACATTATGCATTTAACAGCCCATAAAGCTGTCCATAGAAAAATGTACTTTAACATGATGCAAGATAAACTCACGGAATTCAACCAATTTCCCTTATCATCCTCCAACCATTAATCACTTTCCTCTTCTTATACTACCTTAACATCTTCGCATATTCCCTCTATCCACATTGCATAGCATTGCAACAAATCACACTTGCCTTTTACACTTAACATGTCCAAATATCCCTCTATTATTGTTAACAGGCTACACCTTCCTAAATCCCGTATTCAACACTGAATGCAATCTTGTGAGCTCGTCACTCCCACAATCCTCACTACCTTATCACAAAACATAATTTATAAATATATATAGCACTACGGAATCTGTTGGCGCCATGCAAATGGCAACAATAATAATATTATTACACAATTATAGCTCCATAACCTGCCTGACAACGTCTATGTCAAAGGAAAAGATGAACGTGGCTACAATAACGAGAAGACATTTGCAAAAATCACAAACATAGAAATGAGTGTAAACCCCAGAATCCAGAACTAGCCACACTATACACACACACACACACACACACCAAGGGTACCCACACTGTAACAACAATTAAACAAAAAACCACAGAATGACAGAGAGTAAAATGGCCATGTACATGTTAACACCACTAGTACTAAATATTTAAAATGTAGCAATCCCCAGCCCTCCCCCACCAGGCTGGCCCCGTTATAACACAAGTACCAATGAAACTCTGCAGTAATCAAACAAAATCCCAGCCCCACCGGCTGTAATGTGTTCCCTGCCCGCTAGGCAGTCAAGCTAAAATCCCAGCCCCACCGGCTGTAATGCGTACCCTGTCCGCTAGACAGTCAAGCTAAAATCCCAGCCCCACCGGCTGTAATGCGTACCCTGCCCGCTAGGCAGTCAAGCTAAAATAAAATCCCAGCCCCACTGGCTGTAATGCGTTCCCTGCCCGCTAGGCAGTCAAGCTAACATATAAAATGTGTTCCCTGCCCGCTAGGCAGTCAAGCTAACATATAAAACCCAGCCCCACCGGCTGTAATGCGTTCCCTGCCCGCTAGGCAGTCAAGCTATTGTCTTTTAAAAAGGGGGAAAACACACACTCCGGCCGTCACACACATTCAAACAAATACAGGAGGCAGATAGACAATCGACAGGTTCGTTTTAAAAAAGGGCACACCGGATGAGCTAATTACCTGTCTCTAGTAGCCTTCTGGAAGCCGGAAGTGGACTCGGAGACAGACCGACACAAAACAGGAGAATAACACAGGCAACGGCTGTATTATGGAGGTGATCAGGCTCCGGTTGTCCCATTTTCTGGGGGTCCGCTCTGGTCCTTGGTATCCGGCCCTCCGAACCGGCAAATCCGGGGCCCCACGTTATGGGCGCCAACTGAAATGGAAAAATCAATCAATACATTGATTATTTCTTTGTGTATCTGCCCCTGGCCAAATCAATAAAACAGTGCGTGCACGCTCCCTGAAGTAATTCACACCAGACACAGGTTCCAGGGTGTTGAATAACTTGAGGAATGTTTATTCAGAGGGGACGGCAGGTCCCATTTAAAGCAAAATTACATCATAAGCATTGTCAGAGATAACATGGAATAATACATCAATAATTGGTTAAGTGTTAAGTGTTTTATTCAAAGCACGTCCTACAGGGTGTGCCTTCTTATGTCATTACTGTCGTCATGGAGTTCTCCCCCCGAATTCCAGCGCCATCTTGAAAATTAGAGTGTTTGGTCGATGGGTGGGGTACTCCTGAGTGACATCTAGTGGTCAGTTTAGTAATTTATTGAATAATATTGAGTATAACTAAATAGAGTAAATAGACTTTTTACTAGCTAAAAATATGTCAATATTTCATGTCACCAGGTCCATAAGGGTCTCCCACGGTTTCCCGGCGCCATCTTGCTGCACAAGGTAGTTAGTCGGTGTTAAAGGGGCAGGGGGAGGAGGGGGTTAGAAGCTTCTAGCAGCCATCTTGATTAGAGCACGTGTGTATAGCTTTATATATGATATATCGTGGAATGAGTAAATAGACATTTTCACTAACTAGGAAATATGTGCAAACCTTATTTCCACAACAATACCCAAGTAGTATAAATCTAAAATTGTTTTTGAAGATGTTCTTCATTTTCCACAAGCAAAGTGTTAGATTGTGCAAAGAAACAAACATTCATATTCAAAAAAGGCATTATTTAACAGGAAACTTGATGTCCTTCAGTGTCTCTTTCAATCAGATAGTAGTTTAGTTGAAAAGCTTTTATCGCCTGCTCTCTAAATTGAACTTTAATCACATACAGGAGGCTTCTGCAGGGTCTAGTAAGCTAAAAACATAGCAATAGTTAAGAAATTACAAGTGAAACAGAATTTGCAATAAAGGAAGTGTAAACTTTAGATAACTCTTTACAGGAAGTTTTTAGGAAGGCTGTATCAGTCACCTGCAGGGAGATGTGACTGGGGCTGCAAAAACAAAGTGATTTAACTCCTAAATGGCAGAGAATTGAATTGTGAGACTACATGGGACATGATATATGCACCAAAACTGCTACATTAAGCTAAAGCTGTTTTGGTAACTATAGTGTCCCTTTAAGGAACGTACTCTAATCAACCTTTCTTTCCATCTAGGAAACCAGGTCAGTAACTCAGTTCTATCAGGACTGGACCATAATAACTGATTCATGTGTTCTTCAAACGGCAAAGGGTTATTTTCTGGAGTTTGTGTCTCACCACCAATATAGGATTGCCCTCCTCAAGAGCTTGTTATTTACCATTGTGATGGACCGCCTGCACCCCCCGACTGGGTACCTCCATCAATCGCTGCTTCCTAGTACTTGCGAGTACCATAAGCACTGCACTGGAACACCATAACCACTGTAAACCCCAGTAACCGCCGCAGCTTGGTTGTTATCATGCCGTCCTCCACCCACCCTGGACTCAAGACCAGTATCCAGCTTCCAGTATGTAGACCTCTCCTAGTCCAGAGAGCCTAGCAGGAACAGCTCTTACAAGAGCTTAGTTATTATACTCAGGGGAGTATAGTGTTTATAGCAATCCCCAGAGTAAATGTAGTTCTCCAAATCCCCCAAACATGAGCCTAGACTTCATGAAGTGTAAAACAAGTGTGTTTAATGGAATCCACAGCTGGCCTTTTATGCAAGTCCCCAATCAAGGTATACGCCCACGTGGACCTTGTGGGGGACAGGGACACAAAGCTGACAAACAAATCAGAACAGTAATTAAATGTACAACACTCCCACACACCGCAAATAATCCCTCCCCTCTGCATGGGAGATAATTGAGTAAAGTTCAGTATGTTACTCAATTATCTCAAGGCAGAAAAACAACATTTTATAAAATCCCATAAGTACCCCAAAACACAACATATCGGGATGTAACATATAAGTGTTACATCCCAAAAAATCACCCAGATCAGATCAGGGGTTCAGAAATGTTATGGAAGTCATAGTTTTGCCCAGGCACAGGCATGGTCCCATGCCCAAAAGAGAATCGCGGCTAAATGCCGCTGGAGGACCGACCGGGAAAAGCGAGGTTTTCATGCTGAAAATAGTTCCAGTGCATTCGCGGCTAAGTCCCCTTCAAAACTATTTGTGGTTTTCGTCCACACGAACAAAATGGCCGCCACCTCGATGTTGTCTATAGGAATTGCGGCAACCCGGGCGAACACTTAGACCACAGAGGTGGAAACTGCAGCCATGTATCAAGTAAGCTTAACAAGCTCCAGGGTGGTCTCTGGCTGTTCGGTAAACGAACCAATTGCACAAACAGAGCCTGTTTAAAGTATTTTAGCCAGGTCTATTGCAGGGGCCTTAGTCACAGGGTAGGAGGCTGGCAAACAGGCCCCTCCAAAAACTAGTGGCAAACTCACAGAAAAAGGGGAGTTTATCACAACCATCAAGATGGCAATTTGGTCATCCATGAGATTGCCAAACTACAGACAAAGGGCACCATCCAAAAAAGTATTTGGACAGCCCCAGGATATCTAAGCAACCCTTTTCTTGTCCCAAAAAAGGGAGGTGGTGTTCTCCCCATTATCAGTTTAAAATCCCTAACCGCTTTCATACATTCTGATTCTTTTGCAGTTTGATTCACTGAGCCCATTTCAATGGGCTGAAGATAAACAGTGTCTCTGTGATATGGTACATAAATCAGCTAGGAGGCACAAGATTGAGGATTTTGACAGTTCTGGCTCAGGATGTTTGGCATTATTTTCTCCAGAACAACATCTCCGTCATCACAGAACACATTCCAGGCAGACTCAAACTTGTAACATCTCCGTATGTTTAGAGATTGGTGTTTGGACAAGATAATCTTTTTGAGGCTCTCCAATCTGTGGGGAACATGGAATTGTGCACTTAATGCTTGAACACACATCTCCCTTGGTTCTTGCATTATTACAAGATTGGTCTTTGGACAGACACTATGTGTTTCCCTTATTTGTCCTCATTTCGAGATCCCTACTTAATCTCCAATTTCAAGGGGACTAAATTGATCCTGGTCATGACCTACTGGACATCTTAGCCATTCTTCCATGTCTACTGGAGTTGGTGATGGATTTCCCATGGCTCCTTTGATACGTGGACAATCTCCTGATCTGGAAAGGAACAAGGACGATTTAGTCGATGGGGAAATGCTACACCTGTATTCTAGGGTCCCTGGTTACTCAATGGAGTTTCTAGAAATTGACTCTCCAACTTCCATTGGAATTTCCTATGTTCATATCTTTTCATAAGTTTTCAAACACCTACTTTTCCTTATTTTGTTAATTGGCTTTCATCCTTGTCAGGAATAGATACTTCTACATTCTCTTCTCACACCATCAGAGGGGCATGGTCTTGAAGGCATCCATAGTAGGTTGTCATCTAGAGAATATTTTGAACGCACTCCGTGATTTTTTTTCTTCAAACTTATGCTACAATTTGTGCATTGGGTCATTGCTCAGCTTTGAGTGAGCATAATAGGAGCATCTGTGTTTTTAATAATTCCTAGATTTTACTATTAACATGGTGTAAAGTCATGATTTTAATAATGACATGGAAGCAAGTATTATTCCTGCCCAACCTACCCGGTTTTTCCATATTCATTAATTTCCATTTCAATTTTTTTTTATTGTGAGTGTAGGTTTTTCATTTACGAGACATATGACTTTTTGTTTGCTGTTTTTTCTCCAGTTCATATGGTGTATTGTTTGGGGTTAATGTTCTGTCTGATCTTATCTCAATTTTTTTAATGTTTTTATATCGCTTGATTTAATTTATGATTAATTAATTGTAATGGGTTGCCTTGTGTGTTTCTTGATATTATCATATATTTCTAGTTTTTTCCAGTTTGATTTCCCGCTGGTGGTTCCTTTTTCATCTGATCAGTATGATCATTTGTTGAATTATGGTGATCTTTGGGACTGCAAGAAAGAGGAAGTAGCAACACCATATCATTCCTTTTGTAACATGTGCCTGTTTCTGATTGGTTGCACTGTTTCTATGCATTTATTTAACTCTTTCATGTTTTCTCTCATATGTTTTTCTTTGCTGCTGTGGGAAATTAATAAAATCATGAATTTACATCATGGTAATAGTAAAATATGTGAATTGTTAAAATATACTATCATACTGTATTGGTTCACCAAAGTCACCATAATTAACCAGTGGCTGCTCACTGTTAAAAAACAAAATTAAAAAAAATAGGGTCCCCCCCGGACCCAATGTCCTCCCCCCTGGCCCCCTCCCCTGAGCGGCGGGTGGGGGCCCTACAGTAAAATAAGGTGGGGGACCTAATGTCCTGCCCCCCACCCCTGAGCGGTGTGTGGGGGCCCTAAATACTAATAAGGGGGGGGACCTTATGGATTTTTCGGTTATTATGGATTTTTTATTTGGATTTTTTATTTGGCCTTTTTTGGGGCTGAAAAAATAAGATTTTAGAAGAAAGAAAACATTGAATGGTAAGTTTTATTTTTTTTACACGTACTTAGTTAAAGGTCCCCTCCTCATTATTTTGAGGGAAGTAGGTAGGGGGTTAATTTTTTGGGGGGGAGGGGGTGACTAGGGGATTGGGGACCCCTAGACACATGGGGGGGTAACATTTTTATTTAGGCCCCCACCCGCCGCTCAGGGGTGGGGGCCGGGGGGGAGGACCTTAGGTCCCCCCCTTATTAGTATTTAGGGCCCCCACCTGCCGCTCATGGGTTGGGGGTCAGGGGGGAAGACATTAGGTCCCCCCCATTGGTATTTAGGGCCACCACCCGCCGCTCAGGGGTGGGGGCCAGGGGGGAGGACATTAGGTCCCCCCCCCTTATTCCAATTTAAGGCCCCCACCTGCCACTCTCGGGTGGGGACCAGAGGGGAGGACATTAGGTCCCCCCTTATTAGTATTTAGGGTCCCCACCCACCACTCAGGGGTGGGGGCACGGGAAGGACATAAGGTCCCCCCCTTATTCCAATTTAGGGCCCCCACCCACCGCTCAAGGGTGGGGGCCAGGAGGGTGGACATTAGGTCCCCCCCTTATTAGTATTTAGGGCCCCCACCGCTCAGGGGTGGGGGCCAGGGGGGAGGACATTAGGTCCCCCCCTTATT